AGAGAAATGAGATCTTTATGTAAGAGAAACATGCATGCACATGAAATCTGGACATTAAGAGAGCTAAAGTTCGTATTCTATCTTGGAACACAAATGAAATGTAATTTAATCACTCCTTCCCGCCTTCCTCCCTCTCTTCTTTTCCTCTCTTCCCTCCTTTCCTTTCCTTCCTTCCTTCCTTCCTTCCTTCCTTCCTTCCTTCCTTCCTTCCATCCATCCATCAACAAATATTTATTGTGTGCCATTATGTGCCAACACTATCCTAGACATTAAATATGCAACAGCAAACAAAAAGACAGAGTCCCTTTGTCATAGAGCTTGCATTCAGACAGACCAAAAAAATAATAGGTACAACAAATAAATTTTACACTATGTTCAAAGGCGATAAGAGCTATGGAGAAAATATAAAGCAGGGAAAGGGAATAAGGAGTTTCAGGGTGGGGGAAAGTGCTGTTATTTCTTCTTTAGTGTTTAGGGAAACCCTACCTGTAGTAAATAATCTTATATGTTTAAATCATAGTTATTTCAATCAGTAGTCAAACCTTTCTTTCAATCAGTTAATATGCAATACACAAATTAGCCTAACTTTCTCCACCTGGAGATTCTTTTGATCTTTTTTCCTTATTAAATTAAAATGCACCAAAATTCTGTGCTTGTTGCTTAGTGAGTCAGGCAGTTTGATGTACAAAGACCTGAATAAATAGCCCTCACTCCCACTCCGAGGTGTATGCAATTATTAGAGTGATTCTTTAAAGGACTTGTAAAAATGCCAAAATAGTGCCACAGAAAACACGTCAAATAAAGATTTAAGTTTGCTTTATGAAAAAAAAAGTGTTTAACGAGGGTTTATGGGGTTTTATAAAAACACCTTAACACCTTACAGACCTAAGGGGAAAAAGCTCTATTTAAGTATCATGCACCAATAGCAGACCACCCAATGCCGATGACTAGAAGCCTCAAACAGACCCATCCTTGGGAGCCTATGTGGAGACCCTAATTTTATGGTCATTTTAATTGTATTTGGGTTATTACCTCATGCCCCAGCAAACACCTACAGTATTTAATAAAAATGAGTGCAGAACACTGTTCTAGTTAAAGTATGTATTAACCAAAATCATAAACTAAGTATGCTTCACCATAAATTACCTGGGTGTTTAGTGTTTCTTTGCCTTTAAGTTCTATTTATTTTTTCTTATAACATGGTAGGCTTCACTATGAACCAAATCAATGTTAACTGACTTAGCATTTAGACACACTCTTCTATCTCTAGCTCATACATCCACATATTCACCTGCCCTGCATGTTATAGTGATAAGCACAGCTAGTCAACCCTCCAGATAGTCAAAAGAATGATTACGAAAGACACTGAGGGTAAAAAGCAAACAGACCTTGAAAAGAAAAGGGAAACACCTTGTGTTGTATTTGCCTAGAGTCTAGGTGTAGTGCTACTCCTCACATCAAAGTTAATTCACACACAAAAACTCAGGGTCTTTCTCTGCAGAACAAAAGGACATACCTTGAAAAGAAAAACCCCACTCCTTCATTCGGCATTTGTCTAGAGTCTAGAAAATAGATTCTTAATTTCTTCCTTCAGTACTCTGCAGAAAAAGATTCCCAGATGCAGACAACACACAAAATTATAACTGATGCTCTTTGACCACCACCATGGCCTGTCTAGATATTCCAGCATAACTCCCCCAGTTACCAAGTTTGTACCTTCTATTTCCTTACCTAGTCATTCCCATAATCCATTACTTTTAGATCTTCAAAGTTTTCTCCCTGCAACATTACTCTGAAGGAGTTTTTATTTAAGTCCCCCCCAAATCTCCTAACTGACAAAATGTTGGTCTCTTTTCAGTTCTCAGTGGATTTGACTTTTCTGTAACTTCTACCTTATAGAGCACGTCTTCCTCCATGAAACCCTTTCCTCCCTGAGCACACCATCACCACCTTGGTTCCCACCCTACAAGCCTTCGAGCCCCTTCTCAGTCTCCTAATTATCTCAACATACGTTTCTACAAAACACTAATCACAAAGGGGAAATAGTAACTTTAAGGGCAGGAGTCTTGCAGATACCCTTCTTAACCAAGTGATCAAAAGTAACATCACCTGGCCCTAGACGGTTTGGTTCAGTGGATAGAGCATCAGCCTGTGGACCAAAGGGTCCCAGGTTTGATTCCGGTCAAGGGCATGTACCTTGGTTGCAGGCTCCCCCCTCCCCCGACCCCCTCCCCCGGGAACAGGCCCTGGTCAGGGCTTGTGCAGGAGGCAACCAATCGATGTGTTTCTCTCACATCAATGTTTCTCTCTGTCTTTCCCTCTCTTCTACTCTCCCTAAAAATCAATGGAAAAACATCCTCGGGTGAGGATTAACAACAACAAAAATTAACATCACCTGTACTGAGACAAATCTACATCATGTGCCTCCTGATACGATGCACTGAGGGTATTACATCATTTTGGTGGTATTCTTGCCAAAAATGCATAATTCAACATGCATGTTTCAATATGAGGAAGCAGCAGACAATCCCAAACAAATTAAAAGACATTCTACAAAAATAACTGGCCACAACTCTTCAAAAGCATCAAGGTCATCAGCAACAAAGAAAACCCAAAGAACTGTCCCAGATTAGAGGAAACTAAAGTGTTATGCCAATTAAATGCAGTGCAGAATCTTAGATTAGATCCTGGACCATAAAAAGGACTTTAGTGGGACAAATGGAAAAATAAGAATGAAGTTTGTAGATTCGTTAATAATATTGTTTCAGTGTTAATTTCCTGGTTTTGATTATTGTACGGTGGTTATAACATGTTTAATATTTGGGGAAGCTGAGTAAAAGGCATATGGAAACGCTATGATTTTGGTAACTTTTTTGAAAGACTGAAATTATTTCAAAATAAAAAGTTAAAATTAACAGGTGTGATATGTAATATAAAAATAAATATATATTTTGGTCTGTGTCCCTGTTTCCTCTCTTACAACTCTAAAACACTTGGAATTTTCAGAAGTGGAGTGTCTTTCTGAATGCTAGTGAGATGACTGGTGGCGCAGGGCTCCTGAATAGCCTCAGGAGAGGGGCTGTTGCCAGGGAAACCAACCAGGTGACTAGAGGGTTGGAACATTCAGCCTCAGCCCCCAGACCTCAGGGGAGGGGAGAAGGGCTGCAGGCTGAGTTAACCACTAATGGCCAATCATTTAATCAATCATGCCGACAGAAGAAAACCTCCATTAAAAACCCTAACCACAGACAGAGGTTCAGAGAGCTTCCAGGTTGCTGAAAACATAAAACTGCCCAGAGGGTGGCGCGCCCAGAGGACATGGAAGCTCCACACCCTTTTTCTCAGACCTTGCCCTATGTACCTCCTCATCTGGCTGTTCCTGGTTGGTATCCTTTTATCATGAACCAGCTATACTAGTAAGTTAAGCAGTTTCCTGATGTCTGTGAGCCATTCTAGCAAATTATCAAACCTGAGATGAGGGTCATGGGAATCTTTGACTTACAGCCATTCAGTCTGAAGCATAGGAATCAACCTGGACTGAAATTAGCATTGGAAGGGGGCGAGGGGGTCTTGTGGGTCAGAGCCCTTAACCTGTGAGGTCTGCACTAACTCCAGGTACTTAATATCATAACTGAATTATAGGACACCCAGTTATTACCTAGAGGGTTGGGCAATTGCTTGGTGTGGAAAACCCACAGGTTTGGTGTCAGAAGTGGTGTGAGTAGAGGAAACCGTTTTTCCTTTAATAGGTTAATGGTTATGTTAAACATATACTTCTTTATGTAGACACTGTGCTATTTATTTCTAATAGAATTGGCTATCTATCTCATAGAATATTTCTAGAAAAATATTTCTTTCACATAATACTTAAGTAGATCACTGGCAATAGGGATCTCTGAGTTACCAATGGTATCTTATGGTCACAACCTTAGACCTATATATAAAATGTCTTGAAATAATATTAAACCTTTTCTGGGGTGGGCAGTGGGATGATACAAGTGGAGACTAAGAAAAATCTACCTGGCAAGGGTAAGACAAAAGACTGGACAGAAGGAGGGGTGTGGCAAGGGAACGGCATGATCTAAGAGAGAGTGGATGAGGATTTAAACTCTGGTTGGCAGGAGGGAGGAAAGGGAGAATTGAAGAAACTCACATTTTAAAGTTCAGGATTTGGCATTTGAAAAACAAGGAAGGAGCCACAGATGCTAGTTATCATGGAAAACAGTAGCATCTTGATGGAAATGAAGAATTTGGGAGGGCCATATGATGAACCCAGTTTTGGCCCTGTTGAACTTTAAGTAGTGACAGAACATTTGGAAATTTGAGGCTGGAACCCAGAAAAGAGATTCAAGCTGGAAGTACATTTGAGTGTCACCAGCAAAATGTTAATTGCTGAAATCATTAGAATGTATGTTCTCTTTGATGGAGAAATTGCAACAAAGAAAATCAGAGAAACAGGGGCTGGGGGGGGTGGTCTAGAAATAGGCTCTTCTCATACTTTTATGCCCCCTTATTAGCAAAAAATGTGACAAATTTAGTTTGAAAATTACAGCAAACAACTATTGTAATGGTACCTGCCTCTCAATGATCCTCCATCTCTGGGAATGGCTTATGGCAATAGGGGTGGGGTCCAGTATCCATTTATTCATTTTATTACATGAACCTTCAACTCTCTAATTCTCTCTCTCTCTCTCTCTCCTGGTAACTTGGAATGGACAGACATTGTGAGTAGGCATCACATGTATGGTACAGCCCCATAGAAAAGGTTAACCAAGTCCTATCTCTAAGGTTCCTGAGGCTTAAAACCAAACCTAAAGTTTGGTCTTAAATTATCCATAATATACCAGTCTGTTTTCCAACAACTGCTATCACTCCTGTTTCTGCTTTAAAGTACTTGGAGTCAGTTTCCATTGCTGTAAACAAAAGACTCAATTAATACCACTGCCTTAGTCCCTTCTGGCTGCTATAACAAAATAGCAGAGACTGGGTGTTTCACCAACAACAGAACTATATTTCCCATGGATCTCAATCCTAAGATGGAGGTGCCGGCAGACTTGCTGTCTGGTGAGGACCCACTTCCTGGGTCACAGGTGGAGGGCTCAGACCTGGGGACCTAATCATCTTCCACAGACTCTCCTCCAAACACCGTCACTTCAGGGATTAGGCTTCAACATGAGAATCTGGGAAGGGACATAAACACCATAACCACCATAAATAAATATTTAATGACCATTCCCTCAGTCCCACTCAAACTCTAGTGTGGATATGAATTGCCTAGGCATCTTGTTAAATGCAGATTCTGATTCACCAGGCCTGAGGTGGGGCCTGGGACTCTCCATGGCTACCAGCTCCCCAATGATGCCATTACTGCTGGCCTGGAGACATCCTTGAAGCGGCAAAGGCACCATGTTGCTCTGCCCTCAAAGAACGCATAGTCTGGCATGGCAGACAAGTCATATGCATGTGAAATAAATAATTCAGGTGTCACTGAGGGACTAGCCTTGGCTCTGTTTAAAACTATTGTTCTTAACCTTGCAAATCACTGAATTAAATCGGACATCAGTTTTTGCATCTGTAGAATGAGAGTGGCAAGATGACTAGCACATCCCTCTCAACTATTAAATTCTGTCCATTATTATGGTCAAAATTAATTATACAAATGGGTGCACCATCAACTTACACGACTGTCCATTATACAAGAGAGGAGTGGGGGGAGGTCTGGAAGTCTTTGAATTCATGGCTAATCCTAACTTTTCCTCGTTATCCTTTTCTGTATTTTCTACTATCAACAGGTATATTTTCATAAGAAACCCCAAGTCTATGAAAGACAGTGTCTGTCCCTGTTAATCTCTGACTGTCCCAACCCCAACACAATGCTCCTCACCTGAGTGTTGAGCTAGGGATGGCTCAGTCAGTCAATAGGTCAGAAGCTTCCTTCTCATGAGTGAGCAGAATCTGGAAGCAGTTTGTCCAGTGTTCCTGGAGGTGAACTGAGACCCCTGGGAGCTGAACTGCTTTTGATCTGATTGGCCTCCTGCCCAGCTTCTGTTTTCACCCTAGCTCCTGCTGGTTAGGAACCCAGCCCTGAAGCCCAGCCAAAAAAGCTCACTCACTCAATTCTCGCCAGCCCAGGAGACAGCCCCTGCTATGGTACTATCACCACTACCATCCCAATCCCCAGCTACTCAGTCGTTCCCATTGGCCCAGAGAGACCTCCCAGGACTGCAGCGCAGATCACAGCTCAGATAACGGGATACCCTGCAACACTTGAGAAATTCTCCCCCGGGGCCTGAGTCTGCCTGCCAAAAGCCTTTTACAAATGACTTCTTTACATTTACAAGTAGACTAGAAACACAGCAACGCATTTTGCAGGTTAATTCCCTGTATTGACAAAATAACAGCTATAGCTGAAGAGGTGAAATGTATTTGCTATGGAATTTCGGTTTGATCACACACTTTAATATATATCTATGCTTTCATTATGAATGAACTGTGACCATATAACATCTTTGGGACTTTGTTTCCTCATCTGCAAAGTGATTGGACAACTCTCAAGTGTTTTCAGTTAAAATTCGAGATAAATGCCTTTACCAAGCAATGAGATTCTCCCATTGTGTTCATAATACAAAGTACGGCATGCTCTCACAGTTTTGTGGGTAGTTGTGCATGTGAGTTTTTCTCCTGTGAGGTCCTTGAAGACAAGGGTTTTGTTTTACTTGCTGCTGAGTATCTTCTGCAGTGATCCACTCACAGTAGGCCCCAGCAAGCACTGACTGAACTGCACACATTAATAACTAAGTCATAACACAACACCACAAATACTCCACACTTGAACAAAATTTGCAAAGTTTCCTTTATAATTCTGAACAACCCTTTACACCCTGAAAAAATCGGGGTTTTTTTAGATAAAAATAGTCATGTTGAGGGGGGTGGAGGGGGTAATGGGGGGGAAGGGAACATTGTAATACTTTTAATACTAAAGATAATTTTAAAAAATAGTCATGTCAAAATTCATCAGCAGAACCTTGAGTTCCTTTGGTGACTTGATAGTAGAAAATGGGGATGAGGGGGAATTATTTTATGGATGAATATAGCCCAGCTTCTCAGAAAGCACCTTGGGCAGGTGCCAGAAGAGGCAGGAACTGGGAGCTCCGCCTGGTTGATGCTCAGAAACCCTGATGCCACCCCTCCAGAGACAGAACGCTCATGACAACCTGGATGGTTAGGAAGGAGGCACCAGAGAAGCACCAGAACATCAAGATTGACGGCATTGGGCTTGTGGGGGAGCTGGAGCTAGGCCGGAGTCGCTCTCTTCCTGACAAATTGGCCTCAGAGATTCCCTGGATCACTTTAAGAACATTTTGTAAAATATGTAAATACTTGTTTCTCTTATAACCCCTAGTAAGGAAATAGTGGTTTGAGAGCCTAGCAGAAGAGAGAGTTGTTAAAAGATAATGTTCAGAAAAAGGTAAAATCATAGCTCCCATACAGCTATAAAAATAAACATGGGTTAAAGAATTTCTTTTTAATCATAAATGAAGGAATCGGGCCGATGTTGTAACCAGTTTGAAAGAAAAGTCAAATCAGCACAAATGTATAAGGAGTAAAGGAACATTGAGATGAATTGCACATGGGACAAGACTAGTTTATCCACATGGGAGAAGTAAATTAAGATCACTACTAGATGGGACACTTTGTAGAGACCTACCACTTACAGACAGCTGCAAGCAAGTCAAAGACAAGGAGCGGGGCTGGAATCTGCTCACCTGGACAGGTATGTTATAGAGGAGGAACAGTTTCCATTGAAACACACATTTTTTCTAGTTTACTTGACCTGCAGTCCTATTGGGTCTCTAAGCTAACGGACATTTATTTCATTATGCTTTGATGAGCAAATTGCTGTCATTTCATAGTTGAAATAGCTCCTGGTGTCTGAGATGCCGCTATTCCAAAGTGCTCATTAAAAAAGAACCACGTTTTTTATATCCCAGATCCACGTGTGACAGAGCTGACCTTCTGTTTTTGAAATTCCTAAGAACTGGACATTCTCTGCTAGACATTCTCTACTCTGTGCAGAAACGGGCCATGAGGCTTTTCCTTGTAAACAAAGCCGAATTATTATTTCCTCCAAGGATAATACTGACTGTGCTCAGAATGCCCAGGCGGGTATTCTGTTGAGAACCTGGGTTTCTGTACCATGAAATACAGAAGATAAGTTGGGCCTGAGACGGTTTGAAGGCTGGCATTACCTATTACCAGGTTTCATACCTGAAGTCATTCCTCCCAGAGGTGCCTGGGGTTTGCACAGCTCTAGCTCTCCTCTCAGAGGTGTCTCTGATCTTTTACTGCAATTGCCCAACTGCTAGAAGCACAAGTTGATCCCTGAGAATGAGACCTAGAGAAGAAGGCAAAGCCAAGTTAGGGAGCCACGCCCGTCTCTCAAAGCCATCCTCCCCCAGAAGCACGCAGCCAGCGACTTTGCCCCCTGCCATCCCCTCACATGCACCACCCTGGTGGTCTCCCCTGGTTTTTCCATCTCAACCCAGGTGCTGAGCGGCCTTTGCTCACTTATCTAACTTGTTCTGTGGTGCTTCATCCCCTCCTCTGCTCTGGGAGCTCCACCTGGCTCCCTCCTACCCCAGGTCACTCTCTCTTCTCATGAATGTTCCTCTTATCTACTTGCCTGTCCAGGCAGCTGGCAGCTTTATTCAGAATCTAAAAACTCGTGTAATCTTGAGCAAGCCTGCTGTGAGAAGGGATTAGGATCCCCTTCCATAAGCAGGAGGGTGGCGGGGGAGGGCGGGGTAGGTATTCTGGAGGGCCAGGCACGCTAAAAACTACCAATTGGCTGCCTGGACCATAAAAGCAGTTCAGCCTGGCCTTTGGTGAATGTCTCAATTTTTTTTAAGCAGAATGGTATTCCCAATGGACCCACCCAGGTTAAGTTAGCTGCAAAATATACATTCCAATAGCTGAATGAGTTGACCTGTTGTATGGGGTTATTTAGTATTGTTCATCTAAATACTGGAGAATGTCTGTCAAATACAATGGTTTCCGTGGTAGCTCAGTTGACGTTAAACTGTTCTGACAGTAAGTAGGCAGCAGGTTCAGCAGCGTCTAGGAAAATCCTGGTTTGTGTTAATAAAACCATGCCATCAGCTTTGAGAAGGGCGCATACTCTATTCACTGTGCCTTGCAATGTCCTCCCCAGTTATTTAACGGCTGTATTGTTATATATGAGTGAGCTCTAATGCCAAATTAGGCCACAACCCTGTGTGACGCATTTAGAATTGGAATTTACCCTCTCCACGACAAACTCGGAATTATAGAGCTTAAATCATAGATTCATGCGAAAGATATTTATTGAGTGCATCATTGTTCTAGGAGCTGGAGATACAAAGATGAATAAGACAGGTCTCTGTCCTGGAGGAATTGAAGATACAGCAGAGAAGTAAACAGTGCAAATGAATATGGCAACATTTTCACATGGTTGACTTGTGCCTATCACTCACTGTCTATTCCTGGGGTCTAGGTTTCCTGAAAATGTACTAACTTAAGTAGAAATAAAATTCTGTAGTAGTATTATGACACATGGTCTTATGGGAGCACTAAAAAGTGATCTTGTCAGAAAATAAAATCATCATAAAAATCATATTATTTTGTTTCTACTTCTGGAATATTTTTTAAATTTAAATAATAAAAGTAGCACATGCTTACTGTAAAAAAAAATCCACAATCCCATCATTTTTTGGTGGGGAGAATTTGCATAATTGAATATTTATGAAAAAGGTCAAACTCTATTGATTCATTCATCTATACTGAAACTGACTGATAATACCTACTCTACCATGTTGGCTCTGCCCTCCCATTTTTTTTACTATTTTGTTCCTGAATAAAGAGAATAATAATGGTCAATAGTAGATTATACTTAAACCCTGCTCATTCTTCATTTAATTAAAGCTAGTTGGGAAATAAAGGGTTTGCCAAAGAGCAGTGGCCTTTGTTTTGTATTATTTAAGCTTTTAGAGATAATAAAAGAGTTAACAGACCCCAATTTAGTAAATCACTTGAGTCTATAGAATACAAAATCACCATATGAAACTAAAGCTGAGGTAGACAACTACTTTTTTCTCTTTCAAAAATATATTTTATTGACTTCGGAGAAGGAGAAGGAGAAGGAGGAGGAGGAGGAGGAGGAGGAGAAGAAGAAGAAGAAGAAGAAGAAGAAGAAAGAGAGAGAGAGAGAGAGAGAGAGAGAGAGAGAGAGAGAGAGAGAGAGAGAGAGAGAGAGAGAGAGAGAGAGAGAGAGAGAGAGAGAGAGAGAGAGAGAGAGAGAGAGAGAGAGAGAGAGAGAGAGAGAGAGAGAGAGAGAGAGAGAGAGAGAGAGAGAGAGAGAGAGAGAGAGAGAAACATTAATGATGAGAGAGAATCATTGATCGGCTGCCGCCTGCAGGCCCCACACGGGGGCTCAAGCCCACAACCCGGGCATGTGCCTTGACTGGGAATCAAACTGTGACCTCCTGGTTCATAGGTTGATGCTTAACCACTGAACCACTCTGGCTGGGCTAGACAACTTCTTACACTGGTGGAAATTAGTACCATTATGGTTCCTTTCAAAGAGGTCTTTTATGGACAACACTTTCCCTACATTCATATTCATTATTAGTTCTGTCACTTCAACCTTAATTCTTTCACTGAAATCAGTCATATCCACCCCTTTTCCCCCAATAGAAAAATGAGTTATAAGATTATCTAAACTTAGTAAGTCAACAGGTCAGTCCAGGTAAGTCTTTTGAAGGGTTGTTTTACAAAATTTGCAGAATATATTTGGCTTCTCAGAAGTCTTTCTTGAGTAAGATAAAAATATTAAAGACCAAAGCAAGAAATGCAGATTTTTAATTTCTGACTATTTTTAAAAAGAGCTTCTCCTCAGGACTAACATCCTAAAATTCAACACCAGGTTTTTCTCTATCTTACCTCAGTCTCTGACTTTGGCCAACTCATCTCTTTGTACCTAATTTTTTTTTCCACCTAAAACATCATACAATCACTAGAAGGTGATGAAAACTAAATCATGAATAGGGATTAGAGAGGATAAATACATTAATATTTTTAAGAAAAGAGTTTTAACCAAATCTCTTTAAGACAGCAAAGACAACATAAAAGACTCTTTCATATCTTTGACCTATACTTTATTCACCTCTAAAATGAAGAGTTGAGGTAAAGATTTCTTGGGTCCAACATGGTATTAAAATTCTATTTCAAAAATAAAAAGAAATAAATTCTATTCCCATGTTATTCTATTATCATGAGAATATGTTCAGAAAAGTAAGAAATAAAATATCAGACAACAGCTCTAACCGGTTTGGCTCAGTGGATAGAGTGTCGGCCTGGGGACCGAAGGGTCCCAGGTTCGATTCCAGTCAAGGGCATGTACCTTGGTTGCGGGCACATCCCCAGTGGGAGGTGTGCAGGAGGCAGCTGATTGATGTTTCTCTCTCATCGATGTTTCAAACTCTCTACCTCCTATCTCTCTCCCTTCCTCTATGTAAAAAATCAATAAAATATATATTTTTTTTAAAAATCAGACAACAAACATAAATAGTAACTATCTCAAATGCTTCCAATTAAGCCTCTTCTAAAACAAAGTAAAATCTCAAAGAGGCTTAGCTGGTGGTGGAAAATACTCTAAAACCTATGGTCTGACTCAGGCCAAGGTCAAGGAATTAATGCAGTCAGAACCACAACCAAGTGGACATGGTAGCAGAGAATCATTTAGAGGAGATTAGAAAGGAATTTGCTAGTTTCTCCATTCTGGTTTTATTCAAATGAATAGGAAATTCACTTCTGAATTTTTAAATTGCACTTAATAAGGAAAGATCATAGTAGATATAACATTAGGCATTTCTCCAGGACATTCATATGCTTCTTGGGTGGCTGAAGGCCCTGCCCTCAGCTTCAGTGTATTTGAGGTATATATGAATGGCTTAGTTTAATGAAGTGTCTTTTTATTATTATTATTATATATTTCAGAGAGGGAGGGAGTGGGAAAGAGATTTAGAAACATCAATGACGAGAATCATTGATCAGCTGCCTTCTGCACCCCCTACACAGGGGATCAAGCCCACAACCCAGGCTTATGCCCTGGCCGGGAATCAAACCGTGATGTCTGGTTCATAGGTCGACGCTCAACCACTGAGCCTCGCCGGCCGGGCCAATGAAGTATCTTAATGGCATATTTACTAAAGCATTTAATCTACTCCTTGTGGGTGAAGAGATCAAGTGCATCCTGGTTAAAGAGCCGAGTCTTGCTGAGATAGGAGCAAGGCTGCTGCTGGCTGGAGTCCATAGACTCACCCTGTGGCTTGCTGATAACCTCAACTTGTCAAACTTAAAATTTACCACCAGGCATTCTGAATTAGAACCTGAGACATTTCATCAATACCTGTCAATCCACACCCAGCAAAGAAAGCAATGCAGTGTCAAGCTTGGGTTCTCATTTAATGAGCTGGCCATAAAGCTGTCACAGGTTGTTTTTTTCTTAGCTTCCCTCTTTCACCACTGCCCAAGCCAAATTCAACCAAACACCCAGGGTTCAACAGAATCACTCTGAGTTGAGAGAAATCCCCACAGACTTCCCCACCATCCACCTGTGTAACCTACTAGAGAACTGGCTGGCCAATAGGGACCCGGTGTATTTGACTGTTACATAAAGAGATTAAACTAAATGGCTTTTAGAGCTAACATTCCATAATTCTATTTCACTTCATTCTTTGGGTAACTCGTAGTATGGAGAACCCTGATTTCCAACTTTTGCCTCAAGGAAACGTGATTTCTTTTTTCCAAAATACAATCTCTATGCTACAAAAAAGCTGAAGGTACCTAGTTTAGCTTTACTCCTTTAGGGTGGTATTTAAAGAATGAAACCAGGAATGGCTGCTATTTAAAGAAGCAGTCATTTTAAAAGAGAATAAAAGCTATAATTTAGAATGGAATTGTTTTTAATGAAATAATGCCACATATAAAGGCATCGTCTTTTAACCTATCTCTGTGGGAATAAATACCACCCCCGTAGCTCTGTGTTGTAAATGGCCTTGCCAAAGAAGGGGACCCTGTAAACAAACTGCTTTTATTTTAGTTAAGATGTTTAAAAATAAAAGCCTAGTTCTTCTGCAAAGAACCTGAAAATCACTCCCATGTACTACCTACAGGGAACTGTATCAGAATAAAACCATATTAAGCTTCACTCTGGGACACATAATTACTAATCATATAATTATTAGGCGTGTTATTATTTCCACCACTTCCAGTGCAAGCAACAGAAAGAAGATTAAAATGTTCTTAAACGTTGGCCTGTGAAGCTGAAATGAAATGAAGTGTCAAGGCCAGATATTCATTCCGACTTTCTCTATAAACGACACAAAGAATAACACATTCAATCAATCATTTCTGGGCCAGGCAAAAGAGAGGTAGTCCACAAGAAATCCCGTTTTACACCACGGTTCCAATGGGGAGAAGGGGTGGGTTGAAAGAGCGGATTCTTTAACTGAGTTGAGTGACAACTTTTCATCTGAACAGGACAGAATCATTTAGCCAAATTGTGTAGAAGCAACTAAATACCTTCTCCATGAAGCACCCCACTCTTAGGCTGCAGGAGGATTAA